CTGCAGCTCATACTAGAAAGACACTAGAAAGTAGAGACTACAGAACATGTGAGAAATACACCAGTGGGACTCAAACGTCTCCAAACCATCCAGTTAAAACACAACGTATGATCATACTTATATAACCAATTTAGTAAATATTATTCTGCATGCATATGTCATTATATATAATATATATTTTAATGCTGTCCTCGCACCAAATGAGTAACTTTTACTCCGCCATACTGTGTGTGGTAGAGCATAGACTGTAGAGCAATAACAGCATTAAAATCCTATAAAAACACAGTATTGGGTGGTTATGGGCTAGAACATAGCAACATTATTTCTTTTTAATATATATATATATATATATATATATATAAACATTTTCTGACCCAATCTTTGCTGTGAAGTCACCCTGATGAATAGAATCAGCATCTAGTATTGTTTTTTTCAGATTCATCAATGAAACATTTAGTTTATAAAATGTCAAATAGCCCAAGAAATATTTCCAAGAAAGCCCGAGGTAAAATCTTCAGATTGCTTGTTTTCTTCAAAGCCTTACATATAAGAAGCTTTAACCATAAAATATTTTGTCTTTAAAAAATATACATTTATTATCACAATTTTTCGTAGAATTCATTTATTAGAGTAATCTACCATCAGCGCTGGAACGCCATTGGATGGATGCAGGTTATGGAAGTATTTGGGGGTCAAAGCAGAATTTAGTTGAACTTTAGAGAAAATCCCACTCCACAAACGAGGCATATTTAATTTTGAACATTAAACAATAAAACAGTGAGCATGTATCACAATAAATGAATCCATAAAGACAAAACATATTGTGTTTCTTGGCATGACACCAAGTAGGTTATAAACCACACTGCAGTGTGCAAGTGTGAGTTTCAGCATATTTCACAGCGAACCTCTACTGTGAAATGTCTCGTACAAGAAAATGAGAGACGAAGTGCAGATTGAGTGTTTTTGTTTTGTAGAGGATTTGGAAGACGATCGCATACTCAGTGAGCAGTAAAGCTCTGGATTTTGACCATAGATAGGCAGAGGCTTTGATAGTGAGAGCCATTGTTGGACGGATCCCATCAGATTGAAGGAGGATAAGCTGTTTCAGGGATGTGGTCAGAGCAAAACTCTTATAGGCACTGTCATTTCTCCAAAAAGAGGGTATCCATCATTCCTTTGATGATGGAGTTTTAATTATTAGACGATGAGGAGAAATGGGCCGTGGAGAGATAAGTGATAGGGGAGAGAATTTGTCTTTGGGGCATTAGCCCTTCAGATATACAATGAAGTGTGTGTGTGTGTGTGTGTGTGTGTGTGTGTGTGTGTGTGTGTGTGTGTGTGTGTGTGTGTGTGTGTGTGTGTGAGTGAGAGTGTATTCCCACTTACATCACTTATCCCTTTGATCCTTTAAGAAGTGCTCTCTGTGTGTGTATGTTGGTCTCTGTATGTACCTTGATCCTTGAAACACACAGTCACTACATGATAAACACTCCATAGTACGTAGAAAATCGAGATGGAGAAAATAATTTTCAGGTTTACATCTAGGAGTTGTTTTTTGTTTCATTTATGTTTCACCATCTGTGTCAGTGAGATCCTATTACATTCATTCAGGTGTACTTCGACATTATAACCTCTACTGATGACGCCAACATATTCTGTTGTCACAGCTTCCTCCAGCACCCCAAATTTAACTGTATAGTCGTTGGTGCGAGTGTATCTGACTTTATCTATTCAAAACGTCTCACTGAGATCAAGATATATTAGATATATAAGAGTTATTTTGCACTACACATATAAGAAGACATAACATGAGTCAGTCACACAAAACAATCATCACACACACACACACTTTTTTAAAATCGTAAAAATATGAAATTCCCTCAGACTAATTCATATATTTAACTTCAGTTGTGTGTTGCAGTTTATTCTAACAGGATGATGACTATTTGCAATATTAAAAAAAAGAAATAAAAGCAGAAAATCTACACATTAAAAAAGCCAGAATAGCTAAATTATCTTTTTTTTCAGTTTTCTTTTCATCAACATATCAAGTTATCAACATAGTGTGGAAGGACTACATAAGTTTATGTAAATTTCAATTAGGAGACAAAGGCATATGATAAATATAGTAACCAAAGTGGATACATTAGTGCATTCTGTACCTTTCCCTCTGTTCCCCATGTTCTCCTGTGTTCATTGATGTTTTATCTCATCTGCTCTGTTCAACAAGCCTGATATTATTCGTCTCCACAGATGCACGTAGCACTCTTGTATCATAGAGGCATATCATCCTCACGCGGTCTGATGAGGTAAAAATAGTTTGCAACAAACAAACCAGATAATCCACGTGTTCTGAAAACCCTCTGCCGGATGTCTCCAGCCTCCCTTTTAACCGCTCTGTGTGTTTTAACCTCCAGGTCAAAGTGAGCTGAACCTTAAGTGCAGGAGCAGAAGCTTTTACATTTTACAGCTGGAGACTTAAGTGTGTCTCTCTCTTTCCTCTCGGTCTCTCCCTCTGCGGGTTCCCATTTCAGGTCTAGCTGCCTCGTCTTTGTCTGTCCGAGCCCGCATCTCTCTCCCTGTCACTATTCACTCTCAACCCATCTATCTGTGTCTCTCTCCATCTTCTCATCTGCACCCTCATTCTCTCGCTTTCCATCTCTTTGTATTAACATCTCCTCTGCCTGCTTCTCTCGTTCTTTTTTGTGCTCTTTTCGTGCCCCGAATCTTCATGCGCGGCCCCTTTTCTCAGTGTCCCCGTCTGACTGGCCCTATTGCTCTGTCTCTGTAGAACAGCACGCCGGCTGTTAGCGGTGCCCCGACGTCATGGCACATGGCTGCAGCATCCTGGCTATAAATAACTTGGTCTCGTGGTGCTCAGTCCAAGACAGAACCGAGAGCCAGAGGGAGAGCAATCTGCTGTCTCCCTCAAGAGATGCTCGAAGGGGAAGGCGCAAATAGGACCGCTTGCTCTGTGCCGCCTTCGCCACCAGGATATATTTCTAGATGAGAGGTGTAAAATCACACTGGATCCACATGAGGCCTTGTTGGTACCTAACAGTACTGGGGTGGGTCTGAGGGCGTTAACCTCTGCAATCAACTGTGTTGAATCAAGTTAGACTCAAATTTTGTCTTTTCAGTGCCGTGGTGTGTTATTATTCTTAACATGCTTAAAAATATGAGGGGTCGCCTGTTGAACCACATCTCTGTCATCGTCTTTACTGTATAGATCTACACGAGATTTGACCAGTCAACTGTCACAGCTGCTTTAACGCTTATGTGAATGAAGAGTTAGTATGCATTCATTATGATGATTAATTCTGGTGTATGCTTACGTTCACATCCTCTTATTTTCTCTCTGATTGAAAAGCAGCACTTACAGTTAGTGCTAAATCAGTTGGTCAATTAATCCACCAATGTTCATAATCAATGAATCCCGGAAGCATTCCCAAACATTTACAGTTTCTGGGTTTTTATATTGTAAGCTACAAATGTTTTTCAGGTTTTCAACTGCTAGTCAAAATATGCTTGCGATTTTTGTGAAATTGTGACGTTTGACATGTCATTGACATGACTAACCGATTAATGGATTCCTTGAAAAACCTTAATAATCAACAATGAAAATAATGGTTAGTTGCAGTGTGGATCAAATTTTACTAATAATTGTTTTGAGAGAATGAAAACCAGAATTACCATAAAGAACAAGATTTCAGATTCTATCTTCAACCTGCAACAAATGTACCTACACGATTAACAGGCAATGCAGCCCAAGCTGACCAATTACACTTTTTGTAGCTTCCATGAAAGTTGTCGCTCTCTTATTTGTATTTAAATTCCTGTGGGTGCCCTCCAGTGACAGCGGGACCCTCATGTCCCCACACAGTCACCACAGGTGTCTAATAGAAGCATCATTACACTGCCGTAATTCTAGCAGCAGCAAAGGTGTTTCTTACCTCTGATATGTGTATTGCAGTACAGCTGCAGTTACCAGTTCTAAGCTAAACAAATACCAACCTTGATTAACGCTCGATAATGACGCTAGAACTACTTCTGATCATTACTCGGGACTTCCTGTGGCTGCTTCACAATGAACATGTTAATTTGCTGTTGAGTTAGCATTTCTAGCATGTTAACATCAAACAAGGTTACCTCATTCTTTCTCTCACTCTAGTGATTTTTATGGTCAACTTGGTTTTCTTTCAGTCTTTAGGACTAAACATTTAACACCAAAGCTAAAAAACTGGGGAAAACACAGAGAGAAAACTAAGAAATGTGTTTTTTTTTTTATAAGTGGGACAGTCGCATAGCAATAATGGATCGACCAAGGTCTTGTGTTGTATGTAATCCATTTTCAAACCTCAATCGGAAATCAGTGAGCTTGTTGATGATCTTGCAGAGGGTCCGATCAATAAATCTCCCGAGAGATGGACACTGCCCTTCCAGTACTGTTTGTTTTGAAGATTTATTTGTTTTGAAGATTTGCCTTAGACTGTGAACTCGTAGACAGATGCTTCTCGATGGAGTCATGATGCCTACAGCAAGCTGTCACCTAGATAACATCACACTGTTTCTAGCGTTCTGTGTTTTGAGGGTAAAAAGCTGCAGAGCGTTTGAACATTTCTTATTATTTCTCTGTGTTGGTGTTCAAACTTGTGATCTTGTTGTTTGTCAGCGTAGCGTAAAACTGATTGAGATGTTCCAGTGTGTGTTCCTCCTGTGGCCATATGGAATATATAGCACTGCACATATTGTAAACTCACAGTCCATTAGTTATGGTTCTGTTTCTCTGCATTTCTGACTGTGGGCGCTTTATGGAGACAACAAGCCTCCCCTCCTCTCCTGGCTCTAGTTTTCTGTCTGTGTGTCTTTCTTTGCCTATTTTGACACAAAGAAGCTTGGGTCTGGCTTGTGCATTTTCCTTTCTTTTGGTGTCTCTGTGGTCTGCTTTATTTCAGTCCAGTCTAAAAGTGGAGGTCTGTGTGTGTGTTTATGTCTTCCAGGTGACAGTAATCCCAAGGAGAGCAGCCCCTTCATCAACAGCAGTGATGTTGCCGCAGAGAAGAGCCAGCAGTATGACGGCAAGAACATGGCCTTGTTTGAGGTACGATCCAATATTCTGTACACGCTGATTCACTCACACAATCAGGCATGATCGTAAGAAGCAGGATACACTCATTCTCACAATTCAGTGATTGAATAGGGGCTCTGACATCGATTAATGAGGGTAATTACTGTGTGAAGGGCATGTGGGAACTTCAGGTTAATGCAAGCAAATCTCAGAGTGCTACAGGAACAGAACTTCAAGGAGGCAATTTGCCTCAGCCTTGCACAAGTGTGTTTACATCGTGCTTGCAGTGGGATTTCTAGATTAAACAAGAAAAAAGAAAACAAAGTCAGAAAATGAACAATGTATCGTGTAAGCACTCTGTGTTTTTTTCCAGTTGGATTGGAATTTGCAATAGGGGTCTTAGCAAAGAGTGGTACTAAACTGAATGTGTAGTACTCTGAGTGTTACAGTACCGGCTTTACCTGGCTGGATGAGGGGGTTAAAAAAGCACAAGTATAGTAAAGATGTGGGTTTGGCTCAGATCTCTTCTCCTCTACTTTCATTGAAAACCGTGATAAAAAAGACTGATTCCAACCTTCCTGTTTGTGTTTGTATCTCTGCAGGAGGAGATGGACACCAGCCCCATGGTGTCGTCTCTTCTCAGCAGCCTGGCCAACTACTCCAACCTGCCCCAAGGTAGCAAGGAGCACGAGGAGGCAGAGAACAACGAGGCAGAGTCATCGCGCAAGAAACCCGTCAAGGTACGATACAAAAGCCAACAGAAACATATGAGGCAGTGCACACAACAGTACATCCGTGTATGCTTATTATATTCGCTGTAAACAGTCATCTTCTCTATGGCGGAGATAACGCGGTTTGACTCAGTATATTAAATTTGGGTACATTCATTGTATGCATTTGGCTGTAGCTGTGGATTATGTTGGTAAATGTTCAGAGAAATAATGATTGCATTACAGAGACATTGTACATGCAAGTTACAAGTACAGTGAAATTGTGTTAATCAGTTATCAAAATAGGTTTTTTAAAACACTTTTTATTTTCAAAAATACCTAATAATATCTATAATAATACAGCATTCTGGTAAAAACACTTTGTAGTTCAAGTGCGGTGCCTTGTCTGCAGCATATTTGCATTTTCTCCTCATGTTTATCTTTTCTAACACCTAAACCATATTCTGAGCTGTGCTCGACACAGGAGGACCTACTGTACACTATGGCAGTCTGTGTCTTCTTCAGCAGCAAACACAACAAATTACTGATGCACGAGGATGTCTGGGTAAAAATCAGGTAAAACTGACCTGCTCCTTCCAAAAAATACCCAAAGAAAATCCTAGTAATTCTACTGTAAAAAGAATAAAAATCAATAAAAATGGCAAACAATTAGATTTAAGTGTGCTGCAATAAACACAAAAGCTCTAATGGGTTTTCTGGGGTCCTTGGGTATAATAATTTCTGTGGTGCATGGCGTATAACTGCTAAAGTGTCATCTATTTGTAAACATTAAATATACTGGCACTGTCCCTAAAAGCAGCGTAATGTGATCAGATATTTATGCTGCGGCTTTGCGGAGGAGTTTTCATGTTGCTGCAGAACAAGTTTGATACAGAACAGAACTAATGATTTTACTGACTACAATATAAATAATAATGTTGAAGTGATAGTTTAAGCTGTCTGGACATAAGGGGGCAGGTTTTTTTTCTGTTATGAAAAATGATCCCTACTAAGAATAAATCAACTTACACCAGTCTGACTCAGTATGATGCAATGTGAACAGATAAATCTCTTTGCTGTGGATCTGCATTTGCTGCTCTAATACTGTTTATTGCACATCCTGGACAACTAATGCCACGTGAGGAAGGGTTGTTATGCTTGTTGCCAAGGAACGGTCAGTAAGTGTTACCAAATATAGATTAGTACTTTCAGTTACATCATTAATCCCTAATAACAGAGTTTTTGATGGTTTTGATAACAAACTCACTGGGGAGAAAGAAAAACTCCACCAGTTTAGAACTTGTCAATCATACTCTGTTGATATTATAAATCCCCAGTTCGTGTTACTGGATTGCATCTTAAATGCCACTCACTAATGAGTTCCTTCCACATCATCCCCTGGTATTTTCTGCTGTTGGGTGTTGAGATGCCAGCAGGAAGGAGTTTACTTTTCAGGCCTTGTGTTTTTCTTCTTCTCAGCACTTGATAGACAGACAGGCAGCCACATTATTAATCCTGTGGGAAATGGTGGTTTTAGCAGCGAGGCGAGATGTGACAACGCAAAGCTGCAATGAGAAGAGACGCTGATAATTCTGACGATAATGCAAATAATGAAAGAAAATTAGTGCGATAGATTGGTGGAGAACATATTTCACACTGACTTTTTAAAAACTCAGTTACTCCAGATTCAGACCATGTGAGGTAAAACATAGTTTACACATTGCGAGCGGCCGCAGCAGTGACAGGTTGACAGCTTTGCTATGACCTTTCACCCCGTCTGTTTCACTTTTTCTCAGACAGGTTTTTATTCTTGTTTTTCACCTTGAAGTGAATCACTGATAATGACCTTGGATGCCAGTATACTATCTGAGAAACTGTCTCTATCCCCCACTGTGCATCCAGATGAGTCCTGTAGATATAGATCCTCTGTGGAAAAAAACATTTTAAACTGACAGCGGTGATAAGGATTGTAGGAACTGTATTGATTTCTGCATGTGTATCTTTCTTACACGATGTATAATGACAAAAACAACACAAACACACTGTTAAACTGCATAAAAATGGAAGACAGTTTTTATTTCTCTCTGGTTGAGATTTCAGCCACATCTCATCAGCAGATGGAGTTGTCATGGAGATGCTTCGGTTCACCTGACATATTTAATTTTTAGCCACACTAGCAGCATGGCTCTAGGGATGGCAATGCCGGTTGGCTGCATTAGTCCAGACTAAAATATCTAAACTACTATTGGAAGGATCTCTATAAAATGTGTTGAATTTGAAAAACATTCATATCCTCAGATGATAACGTGGTCTGACTTTGATCACCTGACTTTCCCTCTAGCGCCACCAGCAGGTTGACATTTGTGGTTTTGAGTGAAAAGTCTTTACAAATATTGGATTGATGATGATGAAATTTGGACATTTTAATTTAGTAATTTTATTATCATACTGATAATGGTAATAATACTTTATTTTATGAATACGTAGGTCACCTTCAAATCAGCATCGGCTGCACTTTCTGTTGTTGTTTCTGTTCTGTTTAGGCTTAACTAAGATGTTGAACATGGTAAACATTATACCTACTAAAGTTCAGCATGATAACATTTTCACTGTGAGCATGTTTGCAAGTCGACATTAGCGTTTAGCTCAAAGCGCTGCTGTGCCTGAGTACTGCTACCACAGCTGTTTTTTATTTAACAACAGGATAATGTACAAACATTCCGGTAAACAATAGCAGCTCAAGCAGATTGAAATACATATAAGGATCATAAAAAGGAAACACTTAAAGAAACTCACAATTACATAAATAAAAAACATTCAGTCAGAGGTTTCGAGGAAGAATGTTTGATGGTGCTTCAAAAGATCAATACTCTTTTGGTTGTTTAGTACATTTTGAAACACCAAGTAATTCAGCAGGATTTTTCTGTCAAACTGCTATATCCAAGGTCAAGAATAAACCCCTAAGTGCAAGAATAGAATAGAATAGATGATCTCAGTGGATCTGTGGAAGCATTTGACCAGCTCGCTCAAATGAGCAAAAAATATTATAATAGAATATTTTTTCACTCGCTTATTGGTATCCAGCCTTCCAGGTACTTCGGATGTATTTGCACAGGTTTGTAGATATCTGTCTTTGAGATTTCTGCCTCCAGCAGCATGCAATTCAAATTACTTTTGAAAACAGCAACCTCTCTTTCCAGGAACAATTTCTGAGTTTATCTAGATAATCCTCAGACTTCAACAGTTTTCACTGGAACTACTTTCTTGCCCTCGGGAAAAAAGTTGACGGAGAGATCTGTGGCTTATCAAGAGTAATGTGGACACTTGTTTCTTGAAAGAGATTTAACCTTTACACAGGCTTTAAAGCTATTTTCTATTATGTCCTGATTGTACAAATAATGCAGGTAGCAGCTGTAGTCAACAACAGTATCCACATGGGAGTACAGCATCGGTTCAAGATGTCTTCACTGTGGAGCTGTTTGCTCGTGGTATATTCCCCCATTATCCCATCCATCCCAATTGTCCCAGATGTGAGGTGTATTGTCCGCCTCTCCTCAGCTCGGCTAACCCTGGGAGCAGGTCTAATCTTCCCCCTGTCACCCCAACCCCTTCAATACTTTAATTAGTCTGCACGCTACACCAAGCTGCTGCTTCTCCAATCAGCAGCCCATTCCACAGGCAATCTCTCCATCGCCATGAGAGGCTTTTCATTAAGGCTGCCTGTGGCGTTTTATCGCTCACACAGCGACCCCTCTCTAACTCTCTCCCCCTATCGCCATCCCTCTCTATTTCTCGCTCCACTCCCTCTACCCCGTCCTCGCTCACCATCTCCTTCATCATTGCTCCCTTGAGTGAGTGAGTGAGTGAGTGAGAGAGAGAGTTGTGAGAGAGGGAGAGAGCAAGGCAGCGGGCTTTCTTTGTCGCAGTGTGAAAGCCAAGATTAGAGATTTGGTTGGCATGTGACATGAGGGAGCAGTCTGGAGGTCGGGCAGGTTACGAAGGAAACCAGTCACAGCTAATCTGCCTGCGATTTTCTCCTCCGTCACCTTATCATTTGAAATCTGACCTAACGAGGCGAGTTTATTTGCACAGCACCTTTCAAATACAGGAGCAATTCAGGTGTTTAACATAAGGCAGGAATCAATATTGTTATATGAGCAGTGGATCACATGACTAACCTGACTGCGGCAGATGTTTTGTTACACAGAACCATGTGAAGGTGTAAACTGTTTGGAAAAGGGCAGGTGCTTTCAAAAAATATTCGGCAGGTGATTGGATGAAGCAGTCAGATCAACAAACCATTTTATGTAGTCAAACACCAGTGTTGTTTAACAAACAGTGTCTTCTTGCTGCCTTACACCTAGCACTCAACCCCATGGCTGCCAGTACTTCCTTAAAGGAAGCTGGTTGGTTCGGTACCACTGTCGCAGCCACAAACACATAGATTGAAGCCTGGCAAGATGGATTCTTGCGTGATCTTTTGGGGATTTTGGGATCTCCAGCAGGTTATCACATGACTACTAGTATCCGAAGGCTGTTGCTTGCAAAAACCCTCAGAGAATAATCTAATGACTGTGCAGTCAAGTCTTTGAGCTCATTGTTTAGGTTTCTGTTACCGCTCTCATCAGCCATGACAACAACAGGAACAGGCAGCTGTTTTCAGCAAAAACATTTTAAGAATAAGCCTCTTCACTACCTGCAAAGCACCAAACAACAGAATGACAAAAGTAGCTACTAGCTGATGATAATAGTGGAGCATTTAGCAGCTGAAAAAACAGATATTTCTCTAAGCAGTTGGTGGAGACCAAAACTAGCAAAAAAAAAGGATTTAATATTGGACGTGGCCAGAAACTTAAATGAGTGCTAATGTATCTAACTGTATCTGCTAGATCAGTGGTTCCCAACCTGGGGTCTGGGCCCCCCCAAGGGGGGGCGCCAGAGGTCACTTTGTCAGCTGAGGTTGTGAGGTTACCAAAATTATTATTTACAAAAATGAAATGTATAAAATCCCAATAACACACCCAATTGGA